CCATCACAATATCTAATAAACTACTAGTGTCATCACACCATTAACCATCACAATATCTAATAAACTACTAGTGTCATCACACTATTAACCATCACAAGATCTAATAAACTACTAGTGTCATCACACCATTAACCATCACAAGATCTAATAAACTACTAGTGTCATCACACTATTAACCATCACAAGATCTAATAAACTACCAGTGTCATCACACCATTAACCATCACAAGATCTAATAAACTACTAGTGTCATCACACCATTAACCATCACAAGATCTAATAAACTACTAGTGTCATCACACCATTAACCATCACAAGATCTAATAAACTATAGTGTCATCACACCATTAACCATCACAAGATCTAATAAACTACTAGTGTCATCACACCATTAACCATCACAAGATCTAAAGGCCTGATTCCACGGCCGCTTTTTCTCGGCGAAATGCGAAATATTTCGCCTGTTTCTTTTGAATTGTGGGCAATCAAGTAGAAATAATTTATTCGAGTGGTCGCAATTCAAAAGAAACAGGCGAAATATTTCGCATTTCGCCGAGAAAAAGCGCCCGTGGAATCAGGCCTTAATAAACTACTAGTGTCATCACACTATTAACCACCACAATATGTTTTAATTTCGTGTTCCCACCTGGCTTCCGCATCAACTCTGAGCGCTTTATGAATGAGTTCAGTGATGTCAGCAACTTTAACAGCAGAAATTTGTGAACATCTTAGAACCTGCAAAAAAGTAATATCTTATATACAGGATTTTGCCCATCTACACCATAAAACCCTTCAACAATTATTTTTTATATAGTTCATCAATAAGTAGCTGCATATAGCATGAAGTAAAGTAATGGTCAAGTTGTCACGTACTTCATTTTATTTTAGTTTACAGATTTTGCCATTTTACACAAACTATTACATAAAATTAGCTACACAATAGATTACATGGCTGGAATTACCACACAGAGATTAGTTCTCCAATAACGGGGTTCCAAGACATTCGAAATACACAGTATGAACAATAACTGGTTTGCAGACCGACAAACAAACAAACAAACAAACAAACAAACAAACAAACAAACAAACAAACAAACAGACAGACAGACAGACAGACAGACAGACAGACAGACAGACAGACAGACAGACAGACAGACAGACAGACAGACAGACAGACAGACAGACAGACAGACAGACAGAGAGACAGACAGACAGACAGACAGACAGACAGACAGACAGACAGACAGACAGACAGACAGACAGACAGACAGACAGACAGACAGACAGACAGACAGACAGACAGACAGACAGACAGACAGACAGACAGACAGACAGACACGACACGACACGACAAGTTAGTCAATGCGCGAGTTTCCTTGGTGAATCCTATGGTGAATCCTTCTAATGTTGCATTAAACAAAATTTGAAAGAGACCACGGTTTTTTTGGTTTCTCTGATCAAACAGGGGAGTGTACTCCACACGTTGGCAACTCTGACGTAGAAACTGTTTTGGTAGCTCACTGTCTTGCACTTGGCTACTTCAAGTAATATACCATTGGTTCCATTAGTACTTCGTGTTTCTCGAGTAGGAATCTTGATAGAAATGTTACTATCAGAGTTGGAAATGATGCACTTGTAGAGATACACTAGATCTAAATACTCGTGCCAGTAACATATAGGGATGATGCCGATGGTAGCCAAATCTTTCCTGGTATGATATATCTGTTTGGTACGGCAATGACAGAATAAATTGGGTGGCACGTCGCTGCTTACCGTCTGGGGTGCCTACACCTGACTACCATGATGCTGACTAAGAACCATAGTCAAATAAAGTACCTTACGAACTCTACCTTGGCAAATGTCAAACGCCGTTCGTTTTACGAACCTAATATTTTATTTGCTTTGGTCGATATTTCCTGCACCTGTTTGTTTCATTTAAGGTCGTTAGTGGTAGTTATGCCAAGATCTTTCTGACTGGATGATTGTAGGACTGGAGTGTCTGATAGTGTGTACTGTGTGATCATCGGTTGAGCAATTCTTGAGAAATGCATGACTACACACTTGGTTTGGTTTAAGTCCCTGAGGAACTCCAGAAAGCACTGGATGTGGTTCAGATGTTACACCAAGAGCAATGACTCTCTGTAATCGCCAAGAAAGATAGTCCCCGAACCAGCGAATAAGATTTCCTCTGATGCCAAAATTGTGAAGCTTTACGAGTAAGAGATCATGGCTGACTTTATCGAAAGCGTTCGCGAAATAAATAATAATTAAATAATTTATTAATTTATAAAGCGCTAAACACTATAAATATTCTAAAGCGCTATCATTACAAATTCAAATAAAATGTTATAAAATATGAGATGATACCTATATATACATGTTTAAAATTTACTATTATATTTAAAGATAAAATGCCTTTTTTTAAAAAAGAAAGGTCTTAAGTCTGTTTTTAAAAGTTTCTACTGTTGACGCCTGACGAATGTCAGCGGGAAGTTCATTCCACAAAAATGGACCAGCCTTGGCAGAAGCTCTGTCGCCAAACGTTTTCCTCATTGTCTTAGGAACTATTAGCAAATTTTGCTCATTCGAGCGCAGGCTGTAGCAACCAATATGCTTAGGTGTCAGAAGGTCTGAGATATAAGGCGGTGCATTAGCATGAAGAGCCTTGTACACCAGCAACAAAATCTTGAAAATCACCCGATACCGTACAGGAAGCCAATGAAGGCCAATCAAAACGGGAGTAATGTGATCGAATTTGGGGATTAGACAGACCACACGTGATGCGGCATTGAGAACTCTTTGTAACCTATCATATTGAGACTGTGGAAGACCATAAAACAATGAGTTACAGTAGTCCAGGTGTGAAGTAATAAAAGCATGAACCAAAATCTTTGTTGTATCTTCTGAAAGGAATTTCCTTATCTGCCGGATATTATAGAGGCTTACTACACACTTTTCCAATGTGAATATCCATCGACATATGCGAGTCAAACCACATTCCGAGACTTTCCACCGCCTCCACAGGCTCGATCGTAGATTCACCAACGGTAATTTCATTGGTGTTAATCTTTGACATTTGCTGCTTTGAACCGATGATAATAAATTCAGTCTTGGAGTCATTTATCAAGAGACGGTTAGAAAGCATCCAGGCACGAATGTCAGCAACACAGTTTTCAATACACTTTAGTGCAGCATCTTGCGATAAAGATGTATCCGGCCGAAACGAATGATAAATCTGGGTGTCATCTGCATACGTATATGCATTGGGAAGATGTTTATCAATAATCGTAAATAGCCCAGCCACGTAGAGTATGAAGAGGACAGGGCCAAGGCAGCTACCATGCGGAACTCCGATTCCGATTCATGGTCTTTAATTAAAATTGTTTGTTTTCTCTCGGATAAATAAGATGTTAGCCATTTGAGGGCATTTCCAGTTACGCCAAAGTCTTTTTCAAGTGTCTCCAGTAGGATTGCATGGTCGATAGTATCAAATGCGGCACTTAGGTCGATAAGCACAAGAAGGGTAACCTCCTGGCGATCCATACTGAGGAGAATGTCGTTCTGGACTTTTAGTAAAGCTGTTTCTGTTGAGTGATTTTTCCGATACGCTGATTGATACTCGGGAAAGGGGGCATTTTCAGCACAATGTATAGATAACTGAGAGATCGTCGCCTTCTCAGCAGACTTGGCAACAAATGGCAGGTTGCTTATAGGTCTGAAGTTTTCAAACATAAAATCAAGCCCAAATTTCTTCAAAAGAGGTAGAACCAGCGCTATTTTCCAATGATCGGGTACAATTCCTTCAGAGAAAGAGAGATTAATGATTTCAGCGATGATTGGGGCTAATTCATGACAACAAAAGAACTCACCAAACTCGTTAACAAAAGAACTCGCCAAACTCGTTAGCAAGGATGGAAGGATCGCGATTTTCAGGAAACTCCTCGACTTTGCTCAAAGAGTTCACAATTTGGAATAATTTTCTACAATCACCAGCAGATTTATCAATAAGGTTGGAATAAAACATTTTTCTGGTGTCATTCAATAGAGCACTGTAGTCATCGCGTACCTTACGATAAGCATTCTTATCACATTCAAGTTTCGATTTAAGCAGTTTCCTACGTTTAGCTTTCAGCTTCTTTAAACTATCATTAAACCAAGGAACCATTATTGGTCGAACAGTCATAACTTTCGATTTCAAAGGAGCATGCTTATCGAGAATAGAACGTATAGGGTAATATCATAGGGTTTTGACATATCATTAACACTTGACCAAGTTTTCTGAAATAGGTCTGAGGCGCATACATGTATATCAGCTTTAAAGGCATTGAGGTCAATATGTTTAACTTTGCGATAGCAAACTTCTTTAACTAGGATGTTTGGGCGAGGAATATCCAACAAACATTCAACAAAAAAATAATCAGACAAAGCAAACGTCGCCAAAGGAGAGGTAATTGTGACATCATCATTGATTGATCTAGTGATAATCAAATCAAGGGTATGACCTGATGAATGAGTTGGGACATGAATATGTTGGATAAGTCCAAAAGTATTCATTAAGTCCGCAAACTTTTTCGCGTCTGCTTCGGTTGGACAATCAACGTGAAAATTAAAATCACCTGTAATCAAGAGTACTTCGGGAATCATAACGATGTTCTCCAAGTATGATGAAAACTCTTCGAAAAACACATTTGATGAAACCGGGTGATCTTCCGAGTAAGGAGGTCGATAGATTGTCACCACTTTAATGGTTTGCTTGTGTACACAAACATTCCACTCCGAGAATTCAAACGAATTAAATTCCCCACAGTCACTGGATTTTACATTCAACGATTCTTTGCACAGAATACCCGTGCCGCCACCACTTCTACCAGACTGTCTTGGGAAAGATCTAAACACAAATCCTGCAGTAGATAGTCCAGCAATGCTGAGATAGACAGTGTCAACTTGGCCTCTTTTCTCCAAGACATTATGAATCTTGTGAAGAACATAAAGCATCTGGGCAGTTGTAGACTTGCCGCTTTGAAAACCATATTGTAAGTTGACTTGAGAGGTGGTCAATAATTCTATTGTAGATGCAACGTTCAAACACCTTGGAGACCAACGAAAAAAGTGGTATTGGTCTATAGTTGCAAACTTCATGGAAAGGACTTTTCTTTGGAATTGGACTGATATTAGACATCTTCCACTATCAGTCCAATTCCAAAGAAAAGTTTTGCGCTTCTAGTTATTCCAGCTCCTGCTATAATTGGTTTAGAACTATCTTCAAAATACATGTATGTTCAGTGCTAGATGGCTTCGTTTCATAGACAGCGTTGATTAGTTCGTATTCACGAGCTTCAAAGAAGTATCTACCTCAAAAATTTTAAAATATGGAATATACTTCAATGCTTTCGAGGCTCCTAGAGTGGAAGTGAGTGAAGGGCTCAAAACTCAAACTATTTTCTATATCGTTCAACCAACATAATTCTTGGATATTTATTAGTTAATAATAAAGAGTGTATGACTTAGATATTAATTAGAGTGTATGACTTATTACATGGAAGTAACTATTATGTACCTGATCAGCTTCAAGAGATAACCCTCCATTCATTTGCACTGCACAAATTTCACGATCAACATTCATGGCAATCATCATTTGACCATCCATGACGCTCTCTTCTCTATCCGTAGGATCCACTAGTAGTAAAGCTCTACAAATATATCCATGGAGGTAATATTCTACAATAACTACAAGAACAGTTTTTGAATCAAGGGCTTGAATCAATCACATTCCGATCAATCACAACTCACAAGAGCTTATACAATTCATGTATTTCTACAGCACGGACGACTCCTATTGTTGAGGTTTTTGAAACAAATAGGCTGCAAATATATGATTGTGCACAGAGACTTGCAATCAATTATATTTTTATAATCAATTATATTTTTACGCCTTTCTCTTGTTAGCAAGTTTGCTAACGTTATATGTTAAATGTTTTGACGAGGCTTAGTATTTCCATGAATGTTATTTTACAATCCATGGTATTTCTTAGTATTTCCAATGAAATTTTACGCTTATTAACTTAATTTCTGGGCGTTATTTGAACTACATAAACTACTACTAAAGGACAATATCCTGCGGTTGAATATAACATTAATAAGTTTTACCCATTATCGTAAAATGCAAACGTAACGTAAATAGGAATATGGTGGACGCTTAACGGCACTGGATCACGCTCTTCTATTGAATACTAAAGAAAAACAAAATTAAAATAATTTTGTAGCTAAATATCCGATAGGGGCGGACAAAAAAACTCACGCAAAAAGAGAGTACCGTAAAAAAACTAATATTCCATAAAAAAAATTACAAGCCGAAAAAGAAATTCGTGCAAGTTGAACCTCATTTTTCTAATAGTCCGCCACTAAAATACTCTTCATCACGAATAGTTATATATATATATAATGCTCCGTATTTACTGGTTTGTTCTTTACCTCATTCAAAATTTATTGGCGAGACAGAAAGGGAATGAGCAGCATATCGTTGTTTCGGTAATATCACAGTAATAAACGTTCATAATTGTCTCGTGATTAAACTGTCAATAAATGACTTCTAAGAAATCATGTGACACACTCGCAGGCGTCGGTCAAAATTTGTTAAATATTTTTAAAAGTGCACATGGCATGAAAATTTATTTAATTCTTTTTTTTTAAATTCTCCACAGCACCTATAAAACGATAGTTATAAATGAAAATCACAAAAATTCCTCTCTTTTTGTTGGAATCAAAGAATTGGACAAATAGGACAGAGAGATCTTGTAACTAGTGTGTTGCTATGACAACCATATAAACGTTGCAAAATGTTTGCTTAGGTGCACTTACTACTGTACCAAATTTCGTTTATGCCCGATAACGTGGGAATGAGATGAATAAATTGTTAAGGCCATTCTTCATCATTTTCAAGGTACATTTAAGTGACGCATGAAAATTGGGGAGAAATTTTCATGTCATGTGCACTTTAACGAGTTTTGTTTATGAAATACTCTGCGGTTTTTAGTTTCTTGTTTGTCTATATCAATATCGTACTCTCTTTCTCTTGCAAGAAATAATAACAGTAATTGTCATTGATTCTATACATGATTCAAGCAATCAAGGATGGTCAGAATTTTACATCAAATATTGTTATTCGTCAAATTGGTCACGTCTATTCTAACATAGAGTAATTAACAATTTGAACGATAATTTGACCATCTGTTGAATAAAACAAACTAAACTCACTATAGTGACGTCTTCACCAGAAACTGAGACATCAGGACGTCTAAATAGATAATTAACTACATATATATTATAAACAACATTAGATATATGATTATCACACATATCAGCGGTTTCCATCGTTGTCCCACAAAAAACCGAAACAGAGCATTTTATGACTAAAAAACACAATATAGGAATAACCGCAGTAATGTGAACAGTGGCGTGACTCCTCATTTAGGGGCCCTTGAATTGCGGGTTCTTCAGTTAATTTTACATCTTATTGCCATTATCCCCCCGTCACCACTTTTGGACGAAAATTCTAACTTCAAGAAAGTGATTTACACTGGAGTACTTGTATGGTTGTATTCCTGGTCCATTTTCGCCTTTTCCCGCATCTAATAAAACTTTGAGAAAGTGTAGACAGCATACTTCACGAAGACATAAAAATCTAGCGTGTATTATTGATTGTTGCAAAACCTCGTACAGGTTTGTACCAGTATCCACACCATAGATATAGATGGTCCACACTACTGTTTGACAAGCAAACGTTTGTCTATTTTGTTCCATTCTGGACCAGTACGTTCCATACGTTATTCAATCCGGTGGGTGAACGTTCCCCCCAATTCCCTTAAATATAGTTTTTCTCACCGTATTTGCACAAGTCGCAAGAAGGTAATCATTAAAGTAAACAAAGACAAACCTGAAATGAGACAATGCGGTAATAGTGGCAATGGACGCACAATCTATAATATTTCCACCATCATCTAACACTGTAACATCTACACGGATTGACCACACCTAGGAACAAAGAATTTTTAAATCCAGTTTTTAATCCCATCAGCATTTGCATCATGAAAATGTCAAGCTTCCTTCAGGCCATAATTTCTACTTTAGCTCCGTCAAACAAGAATAAGAGTTGATGAGAGGTAGCAGTCACGAATTGTTACAGTGGACATTTCAAACTTTATAGATTAACAAAATAAAGATTAAGTGTTCCAACTATGTGTTAAGTAAAACTTAGGCCTGTTTCATACGTCGCACTATCGTCGAATTTAATTCAGACGAATTTAATTGGACGAATTAAATGCGACGGTAGTGCATCGTATGAATTTGAACGAATTAAATTCATCTGATGAATTAAATTCGTCCAAGACGTTTTATCCGTCATGGTCAGACGCAACCTCGTACCCAGGACCAAAGAAATATCCTGGGTACAAGGTTGGGTCAGACGGATACAACGTCTGTAGCGCGTCTTCGTTTCATACGATGTCGTATCGTCGTGTCAAATTAAATGCATAAATTATGTCTGTTTCTCTCTTTCTGATCCCGTGGTTTTTATTTCTGGGTAATCCATGATCGCTAGTCATGAAATGAATTCGTCTGAATTAAATTCGTCGTTTGAATGTCGACCAATTGACAAATTTAATGATAACGAATTAAATTCGTCTGTATTAAATTCGACGTATGAAACAGGCCTTAAATACTCAGAATACACGATTAGTGTTGGGGGAGCATTATGAACAGCGAACCAAAGTCAATGATTGCCTACTCTCGTGTACTCTCATTTAACTCTAAACATGGCATTTTTAAAACATGACAGGGAGAAAAGAGTCTGGGTCTGAGACTACATTTACACTAGAGCAAAAGTTTCTGGATTTGTAGAAGTATCCAGATTCCTTGTTTTTTAAGTATATACGGGTGCGTGAGGCGTTTACACTACACAGCCCGACACAGCGATGGTCAATACAAAGTAAATAATTTTACCCCTCTCAATGATATTATGTGATGTTTTGACCCTGTTTGGCGGTTGAATTTAATAGCTATAAATTTGAAAATATACACCGCAACAAATTGATTCAGTTTCTATATACAAAGCTGTTTACACAAGAGTTCTCCGGATTCAAATGTTTCCGGATATGAAGTTCCCACAAACTCTTCCGGATTCAGAATTTCCAGACACGGCATGAAACCGAGAAGATTTACTATCGGATTCGTTGCTGCGTATGTAAACGGCAACGTGAATCTGAAAACTTTCGCTCTAGTATAAGCAGGGTCTGAGTTAGGCTAATTATGATGTCAATCCAGGAACAGAAGTAATTGCATGGAACTCTTGTTATCCTACGAGGAGTGCTAGTACCCTGGATCAGGCGGGTCCTGTTTCACTAAAGCCTGCTCTCAGGCAGTAAAACTCGCCTGACACCAGAAACTTTCTACAGCTATGGTGGAGAAGTGCGGGAATATCTGAATACGCCACCTGCATTATTGCAACATTATTATAAGTGCTACTGATTACCTTTTCCCCAGTCACAATACACAATGACTCAACATCTATACATTGAGACTGTTTGTAAACTCTTTCAAGTAATCTGTTTAATTCAACTGTATGTTCTGATAATCTAAATTAAGGACGTTAAATTTTAGTTAACTCCGCCATTCCCAAGTGGGATAAGAACATACATACATATACATATACATACACACTTTATTTAGCGACACTAGCCCCGACAACTACAAAAGTTGATTTCCATGGGGGGCGTCCATATAAAAAATATTACAAAGAATATAAAAAGGAAGGAAACTAAGTCTACTACAATATGTACATTGTCAAAAGCTACTGTAAACCATGATGGTGTGTCCCAGATAAAGATATGATTAACTGAATCCAGACTCAGTTATTAACATCAAAAATTTTGTTTTATACAACTTTTAAATATATAAATTGATTGAGCTTGCTTAGCTTCAAGCGGAAGGTTATTCCAAAGATAAGCACCGCTATATTTAAAGCTTCTTTTGAGAAATTTTCTGTTTGGCTTTGGAAGGGTCTGATCAGTTTGAGAATTTCTAAGATTATAATTGTTTAGTAAAATATTTCTACTTATGAACGAATCTTTCAGAGTTGGTGCAGCACTATTACTCAAGACTATATATAAGAATGTTGCCTTGGTTAAGTACCATGATCTTGTTTCCAAATTATCCTAGTCAAGAGTTCGAAGAACGTCAGCAGATCTGATCTCATAACTGGCGCCAGCTATTATTCTAGACTGGTGGCCCGATTTTGGAACTTTTGTAAATTATCTCTTAGTGTTTTGTTACAAATCCCCCAAAGAGGAGAGCAGTAATCGAAGTAAGGCTGTATCAGAGCATTATAAATTGATATCAATGTGTTTGCAGGAACATAGGGCTTGATACGCTTTAAAATTCCCATGCCCGCTCCGACTTTTTTGCAAACCATTTCAATATGTTCGTCCCAATTCAATGTTTCATCAAGTTTAACTCCCAAACACGGGATTGAGTGCACTCTGGGAATCAGTTGATTATTAATCATTACGAGGAACTCATTGTCAAGAACATAGGTTTCCCCACTCTATCAACAATGGAGAGTCTTTGTCAAATGCCGTCTATGCTCCAGTTTGACATACTACTCTTAACGCCATGCAGTTTTCCTATGGTTTTCCACAAGGCATATTCGTTCGTGCAAAGTGACTTTTTCTTTGTCAGCATCACTTTTGCTGACATAATAAGTGATGTTGACAAAGGAAAAATGCAAAATACATTTATATTTGAAATGTAAATCCAAGTTTATTGTAGTAAAATAGACAAGTTTAAAAACTATAAAAATGCACATCATGAAAACATTGATTTTTACAATGTGACTCATATGAGACATCACCATTTTGGCAGTTCAATGAATAAAATAGCAGGCTAAAATTTATTTTGCCTGCCAAAAATTTTTAGACTGGCAGGCCATATTTTTTCTCTTTAATATACTTCGATTTCATATGTACATTTCATGCTTATTTATGTCTTTTGTGGTTATAAAATATTTGTTTCTGCTTTGTTAATTGCACAATATAACCATGCAGTCCTGAAGCTGTCATTCACAAACTTTCAGAAATTATTGAGGGGATACACCATTTGTGGCTGCAAGTGTCTGCCTCCCTGAATGCTGTAGTATATAGTCAAAAAGTTGTGTAACATAGCTAAAAAATTTGAAAGGATAGAGTTATATAATTTGTCTACAGGTTTTATCAGTGAAATAACCAAGTGTCTGACTGGCCAAAACAATAATTTTTTTTTCAATTGAGGCTGACAGTTTCATCCAAAACAGGACATTAATTAAACAAGTAGCAACTGAAGTTAGGCTCTAGTCTAAAAGTTTGACAATGGTAAGGAAGAGTCTGTAAGAACGCTTTAGCAATATGGCCGTCATACCTTCCTGTTTCATAAGCAGGTGACGCCATTGGAGAAAGTTCAAGATTAAAAAATAATTGTCCCTCAGATGGCCTGTTTGGTGGTGGACATACTACCTCACTTGATACTTGAGCTAGCACTCTAGATGACATAAAGGTATAGAGAAAATCATTTATTAAGTATTAATGCACTATAGCTAGTCAATTGAAACCCCGGCCCCCCAGGACAGGGCAGGGAATTAACGGGGGAATGGCCGTGGATTAACACGGTTTTAATGCACTATTTCCCCCGGGGTACAGGGTAAATAACAAGTCAATTTATTAGCCGGGACAATAGCCAGGACTTTAACGTGCGGCTGATATGAAAGTGGACTGGAACAAGTTTATCCTCATGGCAACATGGCGGAATCTTCGAAATCAGAGAATTGTTTCCTCATAGTTTTTCTTTAAAAAAAGGGAATATATTTTCACTTTTTATATATTCCTGATGATGACTGCAAGATACTTGAAATGTAGATTATTCAGTATCTTTTGATGTGGATCAAAGTTTAAGATCAAGAATCGCCTTCACATGTTGTGAACATTTTATTCTTCAACGATTTCCCATTATAATTTGCAAAGTGCTGGGGCCATAGGGGCGGTAACTTTAACAGTCAATATTCCCCCGGTAGTGGGGTAATTACCAAACTTTAACATTGTCAAAATGTTAATTTCCCCCGCCCTATCCCGGGGTCGGGGGGCCAGGGTTTCAATTGACTAGTGCATAATTGTGACCAAAAGGGACCACTTCTCACATACAAAGTATGATAATATACAAAGTATGTTGCTGTATTTATCATTGGCTAACAAAATTACTGCAGCAGACATTTGGCAGAGATGCCAAGTTTCAGTGAAAGGCTGCAACTGATTTTATTGAACCGCCATTTGAATGAGGACCTTCTGAAATTCAACATGCTATAAAAATTCTGTTTTGCAACAGTTATATTTTTGCTCAAAAGCGTTGTCTGCATGTGGGGAATGTTAATATTTCATAGAGACAAAATCAAAAATTTCCCTGGGGGTGGGTGGTGGGGCAAACTGTGGAAGTGTTCTCCCACTATAAACACTGAAACTCAATTTTCCTTAAAAATCCCAGTAGTAGACCAAAATGCTTGTATAATAAATCCCTGCTGATATAATTCTTACCTAGTTTTACCTAATTGAACCTCGCAATGACCTCGATCTACTCCAAATGATATCTGCAGTTTTCTGTAGTCATATGTGTGACGACGATCCATGCGCTAAAACAGACACATGATGATATATTTCATTTCTTTATATTGTATATCAGAGATTGTACATATAACTTTGTAGAAAGTATACCTTGCCACTGCGTACGCATGATAAAATAAAATCTTTCTCGCAAGAAGAGATAACTACTTTACTGTTCTTCATACTATTTTTGAGTCCTGTGAAGCAAACTTGGATACTTTATGTAAGCGCGTTTGTTTTTCCAGTGGATAAACCTGAGATAAATCTAAAGTTAAAACAGTCAAAATAAATCTATGCAACCAAATTAAAATCTTTCAGCCTGGACTGGACCATTTTATCACAACATGTTATTACGAAAATCACCGAACTGTGGAATCGCATCAAAAATTCGTATATCGACCACTCCCACAAACGTCTACGACCACGCCTACATTCGACTACATAGTTTTGCATGTTTACAATTCTAATT